GATAGTTTTAATTCCGCATTTGTTTTGGTAAGCCGGAGCAATTAATTTTAGAAATGACTATTCACCCCCCCCTCTAGTCGCCATCTCGACCTTACACATGCTCTCAAGAGAGTATTGCGCTATCTAAAAGGGACTATGAGCTATTACATTCTCACTTAGAGGTGGTGCTATTTCATGGAAGTCTTGCAAGCAGACCGTCTTAACGAAGTCAATAATGGAAGCAGAACTCACAGCATTAGATACCGCAATTGTTGAGGCTGAGTGACTTCGTGAACTCCTTATGGATTTACCGGTAGCTGAAAAACCGATATCGGCTATTTCTATGAACTGTCATAATCAGACGGTGATAGTCAAAGTGAACAGTTCTAAGGATAACATGAAGTTAACATGGCATGTGAAGGGGCGGTTAGAATCTATCAGAAAACTAAGAAACTCTAGAGTAATAGCGTTGGACTATGTCCATACATCTAAGAATCTGACAGATCAGTTCACAAAGGGTCTATCACGTAATGTGATAGATGGTGCATCAAGGGAGATGGGCTTGAGACCCATGTGAAGTCATTCCACAGTGGTAACCTGCCCTATGTAATCGGAGATTCTGTGAAGTAGGATGGTGAAACAAGCTAGTAGTTGATTGTGATGGAGAGATCCTTTATAATAAGGCTCATGTCGTCTAAGATGCACATCTCTTATGCTGTATGGCGTGGTGGTATAAACCTTAATATGGTCCTAGTGGCTTATTTAAGTAGAGATGTCAGCCTAGAAGACATCTTAGAAGGAGCACATCTATATGAGTTCGACTGCTAGTCACAGTCTATGAGATGTGGGTAATCTCTAGATACTCATGAAAGGCCTAGGAGTTTGACTTATATGCTCCAACCAGAGGGGATGCTTTAGGCAGCCTTGTATAAGTAAAGGACTTAGGTGAAACTTATTTCGCACAAAACTATCAATTCAAGGCATAGTCCATTGTTCAGTTGTGAAGAAGCATAACCTCTGTTCTAGGTGGATGTTCAACTTAACAGTCTCCACCGAAACACTGGTATATTAAGCAACAGCAGAGTTGAGGGCATTTCTTCAAAGCTTTGAAATTTGGTGGGGATTATTGAATTTAATTGGAATTGACCGATTACAATTAGCAATTAAATCAAAAGAAATTTCAAGGCTAGGATTAATGCTAGGTGAAACTCATGACGTGTTAGTGTCATTAGGGGATGTTTTAAGGAGAGTCAGTGGTTGATTTGTGAGTTACTAGTAACGAATAATTGATTTCTCAGTTCCTAGTAACTAATATGGTCTTCATGCCTTAATCAACCAGGTTGATTAGTGGGTTACTAGTAACAGACATTTTATTTATCAGTTACTGGTAACTTATATGGTGTTCATGACCATTATCAATCACTACACCTATCTCTTCGTGTCCCTACAAGGCTACATAAGGCGGCGCTCTTCTCTTGTCCGTGAGCACATGACACACAACCACATTTCACCAATTCACTGTTGAGTTGCTCTCCGTCATCCCCGTCCTGGTTCCTGTGAGCACGGTAGTAGGGAGAGCAGGCCTCCGAAACCGGCATCGTCCGTGAGTTCATCTGCTCGGGTGAAGACCGGCAATCAGGTTTTTGGGGAGCGTCTTCCACGCAACTGCTTGATCGATCCACAACTTCCTCTACTTCTTGGCGACGGCGGCTTGCATGGTGATCGGCACTACAACTCATCTGCACGTCATCGAGTGGGACGACTACATCGACAATCGCTATGTCAACTAGCGTCAGCTCTGGTGCCGTTGGGTATGTTGTCGCAACTCGTCCTATGATTTCTTTGATTAAAATAATGATTATTAGTAGCATCTACATATTCTTGTCACTTAGATCATACATGCATATATATGAGGCCACAATCTAGTTCTTAATCTTTTTTGGATTAAATTAATACTGAAATTGCTTAACTTTCTAACAAAGGATACTTTATGTGTAATTACCGCTTTCTTGTTGCCGGGGTGGAGTCCCTCCCTTTGTATTTTTAACTCTTGATTACTTCTTTTTAATTGATATGGAGGGCTCCTATCCTCTCTTTCAAAACAATATAGGCTAAGATTGGAAGATGCATGAAGTAGCTTAGATCAAAGCTCTATTTTTTGCATTTAAGTTTTAAAGCCTAGTTCATCCATTGAACATGATATCATTTTAGTATTTTTTTCATATTTGTACTAATTTTATGTCTGAGTATTTCTGCCTATGTAATCATCCCTTTCTTGTTGCTGCTATGGAGTCCTTCCGTTTGTATTATACACCCTTGCTTACTTCTTCTTCATTCATTGGTAGAGCTCATGTCCTCTCTTTCATAACAATATTGGCTAAGATAATAAATGTGGAAGCTTAAATGAGACAGAGAATGCAAACTTCCGGTGACGGTATTTTTTCCTTGAGGTATCGAGAAGCTTGCGCTCCTCCCTACCCCTCACAAGGGACAAGCTCCCAGTGGAGTAACTCCGTGGATAGCTACCGGGCCTTCCCAACGCGCAAGTGGGTCTCTAAGATGGCCTCTGCCAGACCACTCCCCGATGTGCTCATTATCCAGCTTAGCATAAACGTTGTGGTCCTCATTCCCTCTGGTACACCATAGGCTGTCACATGATCACAAACGTAGTTGGTATGATCCCGCAAGATTACAAGCACCTTTGGATACGACAATTGTGTGTGCAAGCACAGAGACTACAAGAGATATGCAAACCTTACTAAACATTAAGCCTAAACCTATAGCAAAGCGCCAATTGAGTGGTCTAACTATTCTAAGCACTTCGCAAAGCACTATGCTAATCACCTAATATTTCCTCAAGCACTATGCTAATTATCACCTAATATTTCCTTAAGTATTTTTTGTGGCTAGAGCACTAAAGATGAACCTCAACTCACTAGCAATCTTCCTCAGCTCCAACACCACTCAAATGGGCGGCCTGGGGGCATATTTATAGCTTCTACCCAAAAATATAGCTGTCGGCAAAGGACTCCTCGAATAGTGCTCACCGGAAAGGTCTAGTGAGGCCACTAGAGACATCTGGTGTTTGCCATGTGTACTAGTCGTTAGGCTAGCCATTGCCGACCGTTAGAGTCCTTTTCTTCAGTGTCTTTCTCTGGTACACCATCAGAGAATTCCAGTGTCCTCTAAAACATTCTGCGGAAACTTCTAGAAAGCACCCTTTTCTCCCTTGCATTGTTCAGTGACCCACTGGAGTATTTCGGTGTATGTGTAAACCTTCCACATAAAACCTTGCCTGCTTGTTTTTGGACCGAACCTAAGCTCCAGCGGTATTCAACAATACAGCAGTGGAAGTTTCTTGTCCGGACTTTGTCATCTTGATGTCTTGGACATCTTGCATGTCTTGTAAGATCTTCAGCGCTGCTTCATATCCTTGCATGAGGTGTTGATCACTTGATCTCCATCTTGCCTTTGTCAAAGTCCATCCTTGCATCTATTAGACTAAATACCTTGTATACTAGCAAACCGCATTAGTTTAAATGATCATGTTGTCACATAGTCACTTAAATCACAGATGACCCTCTAGCTAGGTGCCATCTTCCTTACACATGGATATGTTAATGGATAAAATACCTTACCGGTTGGATTTTTGGATACGGGTATGGTTTTGTGCCACCAAAACCCATAAACCCATGGAATTGTTTAAACCCTACATAAGGCTATAATCAAAGCCATCCTTAACCTAATGTACTCCAAAACATGGTCCAATTACTAAGAACGAGCGACATATAAATATACTTTTGTTTCATCTGTTACATATTTGTAATTCTATTATTTTCTCATATCTTCATAGTTTATGCATGTGTTACATTTTGTCTCGGGTGTTGACAAACCGTGGGCACCCGCTATCCGCATGGGTATGACTACGAATACAAAATTGCACCCGTACATGGGTACAAAAATTTCTAATGTATGGATGACATGGATCGGTGATTACCTATCAGGAACGAATCCGTTGACATCCCTACCCACTAGCCATGGGATCATTTCAGTATTTTTGCATATTTGTACTATTTTTTATTAGGGTTTTTGTGTTCTTGCCTCTTATTTTGAAGTGCAATTGTGATTTTACTCTCGTTTTTCTAACTTTGTGATTTTGCCCTTCACTGTTAGCAAGTCAACACGATTTTGCCCCTGGTCTTTGTGATTTTGCCCCTGTTTGACCGTTGACTAGGGGCAAAATCGAGTTGACTTGCTAACAGTAAAGGTCAAAATCACAAAGTTAGAAAAACGAGGGTAAAATCATAATCGCACATCAAAGTAGGGGCAAAAACACAAAAACCCCTTTTTTATTAAGACAGTGGTCAAATATGGTGTCCAGAAATGAGCGGTGACAAATGGAGTGCTTTTGAGGTCTCGGTCATTAGAATGATCCCTTCGGCCCCGTTCGTTTGTCTTAAAGTTTGGCTTGTTTTTTCAGTCGAAACAATGTTTTTCTCTCACAACAATTCAGCCGGAACAGTGTTTTTCAACTAGTTTCGTCGGTTCTAGGTGGAAATGCGGGCCCGATTCGTTTCTTTTATAATCCGTCTTTTTCAACTTGTTTTTTCAGCCGGAATAGTGTTTTTCTCTCACAACAAATCAGCCGGAACAATGTTTCGATTTGTTTTTTCAGCGAAGCGAACGGGCCGATATATGAAACAAAGATTCACTTGGATTCGCGTGTATGAATTGCCTTCCTAAAGTCCATTGTCCACCAAACGTAGCTGCTAGTATACTATGCTACCTAATCAGCAAGATCGCAACCACTGCTGATGCCGTGGTCTGTTGACAAGAGATTAGTCCAAAGTCCTAAGCCAATCACTATGAGCATGATTTGTCAACTTCGATGGCTGTCTATGATTATGAGAATCACAGTAGTACTCAAGATAACCGGCTAATATATTGTAGCATGTGCTAAGCGCAATGTGTTATATATCCCCAAAGGCAGAAGCAGTAGCTAGCGAATTCAGTGGACCCAAATGGAAGCGCAGCAGCATCGCCTGACGACGGCCCTCGTTCTGCTGCTTGCCGCCGTGCTCTTCTCCGTCGGCGCGCAGTCGTCGGAGGCGCACGGGGCCGCCTCCCTCCACCCGGTCATACTGCTCCCGGGTTACTCCTGCGGCCAGTTGGACGCGCGGCTCACCGACGAGTACAAGCCTCCGACGCCCGGCTGCGGCGTGCCCAAACAGGGGCGCCGCTGGTTCCGGCTGTGGGAGAACTACACGGCGCTGCAGGAGGACCCCGCGCTCCTGCCGTGCTACGAGGACCAGCTCCGGCTCGTGTACGACCGCGCCGCCGGTGACTACCGCAATTTGCCCGGCGTGGAGACCCGTGTCGTGTCCTTCGGCACCACCCGCAGCTTCTTCTTCGACGATCCCGCCATAAAGTAACAAGCTAAGCATATATATATCATGTCGAATTTTACGGGAGATACGGCGGTGAAATCATGTTTTGTCTCGTGCGCCATATCCTTATTTATTATAGGAACACCTGCATGGAGAGGCTCGTGGAGGCACTGGAAGGCGTCGGATACACAGAGGGAGCCAACCTGTTCGGCGCCCCGTACGACTTCCGATACGCGCCGGCGGCGCCCGGCGTGGCGTCCAGGGCATTCGCCGACTTCAGCTCGAGCCTGAGGCTCCTGGTGGAGCACGCGAGCGTGACGAACGGGAACAGGCCGGTCATCCTCGTGACGCACAGCTTCGGCGGCCTCTACGCCACGGAGTTCCTCAACCGGAGCCCCCTGCCGTGGCGCAGGAGGTACGTCAAGCACTTGGTCATGCTCTGCCTCGGCGTCGGCGGCTCGCCGGTGATCATGCAGGTCCTCGCCTCCAGCACGAGCAGCCCCAGCCCGTCGACGACGCTGCTGGGCAGCGTGCTGGCGTTCGGGAACAGGAGCTTCGCCAGCACGCTCTCCCTTCTGCCGTCCCCGAAGGTGTACGGCGACACGCCCCTCGTGATCACGCGAGCCAGGAACTACTCGGCCAAGGACATGACTGAGTTCCTTGCCGCGGTAGGCTTCACCGACGACGAGGTCCAGCGGTACCGAACAAGGGCGCTGCCGGTGACACTGAATTTCAGGGGGCCACTCGTGCCGATGACGTCTATCAATGGCGTTGGTGTGCCGACGATCGACAGGTTGATCTACTGGGATGGCAACTTCAGTGCCAAGCCTCAGGTGGTAAACAGTGACGGCGATGGGATTATCAGCTTGGACACCGTGCTGGCTCTGCAAACTTTTGTCGGGGATGACCCGGATCAACGCTACTTCAAGTCCGTTTTGATCCCCAACATGACGCACACCGGTATGATCTCAGATCATTCTGCGCTCAACCGCGTGGTTAAAGAAATTCTGGAAGCAAACCAAGCCACTTCTTCATAGGGCACATCGTCATGTGCTCCATTTGCTTCAAGTTAACACACAACTGGTTTTTTTCATTGTGAAAACTAGCAAATGTGTCCATGTGTTGCAACGAAATCTAATATGTTTTGAAAATATACTTACTATTGTTGGATGTGATTTTGTTGTAACTCGTATGAGCATGGATATGAATCCAAGTCACATATGGGATACAAATGGCGTAAGGACACATTTGATCGTATCGGATTTGGATTAGGTTTGTTGACATGCTGAGGATGGACCTCAGATGAGTTTCTAAACAATGATGGAAGAAGAAATGTTCACTCCTTAATAATTGTTAACAAATGTGTCCGTGTGTTTCGCGGCTTGGAGATTTATATACAACAATTGCATCATCTAGTCGAATATGTCATGAAATTGGACATCATACCGTGACTAGATGGTGTGTCGTTAGAAATATGGTCTAATATTGGATTTAGATTAGAAACGTGTGGACAAGTGAAATGCGAACGGAGAGAGAAGTGTGGTGGGATTGTGATGTAAACACGGTCCGATCTTTCGATACGTATGGTAACTTTGATTGGTGGAGAACTCGACATTGATGATCGATTTAGGTTTATGCTTGTTAAATATAAAGGGCAATTGTCTGGCGGACATCCAAAGCGATGGTCATTTACTGGCGGACACCCTGTTTTGAGCAGTTTGCCAGAAGACACTCTGGTTCATTGAAATTAGGCCACAGGACACCGCGGCCCAATTTTAGCTGGTTGATGAGAGAGAAAATTTTATTTTGGACATCCGGTGCCCTTGAACCACAGTTGGGTCCGCGCCCCCAACCTGGTCTGGTTGGACCACGTAAGAACCGGCCGTTTTTCTCAGGCCAGGCCCGAGCCAGCCTCACGCTGGTTCCTGTCACCACCCCCGCCGGTACACTGCTACTCCTCCCCGTCGTTCTCCTCACCTCTGCTGCTCCTCCCCGTCGGTATTCTGCTGCTCCTCCCCGCCGGTGGTGTTCCCCTACTCGTCCTCCCCGTCGGTGGTGGTCCCCTGCTCCGATGAGCTCCTTGGCCCGTGCACACGAGCTCCGTGGACCGCGCCCAGAGTGAAGGGGTATGCCAGAGGGAGAGAAGAGCGCAGCGACGCCATGGTCGCCGGCGGCGAACCCTCGCCAGCGCAACCCGATCTCAGGCTACGGAGCATGAGAGACGATGATATCAAGTACGTTGGACTCAGGAGCTCACTGCGAAGCCGATGGAGGGTATCTCGTCGACGGGAGTGGCACCGAGAGGGGAGGCGTCGCGGAGAGGCGAATGGATAGCGGTGACGTGCTTCGGCGAGCTCGTAGCACCCCACAAAGGCCACGGATTGGCGTCGAAGAGGGTCGCAGCGGGTGCGATGTTCTTCTGCGAGGCCACGAGCAGCAACAGCGAGGCGAGCGCGGACCTACAGTGGGAGAGCGAGAGCTCGGATGTGCGCTCGCCAATGGTGGCGGCGACAACGGCGGCGGGAGGCGCTGCGGGATGGGAGAGGGAGCGGGAGAGGAGTGGTTCGGCTGGTTTCAGCCCAGGGAGCGAGAGAGGGTTTTTTTTTTCTTATGGGGTCCAGCCAGATCAGGCTGGGGGCGGACCCAAATGTGGCTCAGGGGCACTGGATGTCCAAAACTAAATTTTCTCTCTCCTCAACTGACTGAAAGCGGGCCGCGGTGTCCTGTGGCCTAATTTCAACGAACCAGAGTGTCTTCTGGTAAACTGCTCAAAACGGGGTGTCCGCTAGCAAACGATTATCACTTTGATGCCCGCCAGACAATTTTCCCTAAATATAAATCAATCTATAACTAAGATATACATGATTCAATGAGTATAAAAATTTTGCTATAGTTCAATCATACAATAATTAGCTCACCATAAAAATTTCATCACAATTGGATCACAGAAACTGCAACTATGAATTATTTCAATTAATTACAGAAAAATATAGATCTAAAGTCGCAGCAAAAACTTTGTAGTAAAGCATACCATATTATATGTTCACCGTGTAGATCTACTCATGTAGAGTCCAACAAAATTAGATTTTCTATTTTATGATTTTTCTGTGATTTATTATGATTTTTTAAAGATTCAGCCAAAATAAAAAAAAAACACCTTTAAAACGGTTATAATAGAGTAAGGAGATAAGATGAACGGTTTTAAAAGTTGAGGGAGTGTTTTGTCTGGTTTTAGAGTTTAGGGAGGAAATATGGATTTTAGCGAAAGTTGAATAAGGTAATGTGGATTTTTTCCGTTAGGAAATGAATCGAGGTCTTGGTGGGAGGCCGATGACCATCGACGGATGGGTCGCTTGGCGGCAGGCCCACCAAGATCCAATGCGGAGTCAAGGCAAGCTTGGTTTATAGCCAAGTCATGTCATTTGCACTGATGCTCTTGCTAGCACCGCGCGGTGGGCGAGTGGCAGGCTCGCGCGTGCGGCCGACTGGCGCGTGCGTCAACTGAAAGCGGCGAGTGCGCGGGCTCGCGGCCGGGCGAGCAGCACACGACAGCGGCGGTGGCGTTGCTGCACCGCACGACTGGCAGGCTCGCGCGTGCGTCGATTGGAAGCGGCGAGTGCGCGGGCTCGCGGCCGGGCGAGCAGCACACGACGGCGGCAGCGGCGTCGCGGCAGGCTCGCACGGGCTAGCAGCGTGCTACGGCGGCGCCGCAGGCGAGCGGCGGGGGCGGCGGACGGCAGCCTGCGGCTGCGCGCGATGGCCGTGGCGCTCCGTGGCATGGAGCTCTTCGTCGCCTCCGGCACCCAGCAAAAAATCCCCCATCAACTCTGATTCCGCGTGAGTTGTGAGCAGTGGAGAGAAGAGACGAACGGGCCCCACGAGTGTCTTGGAACATGTGATGAGCCGGTCGACGGATCCATCGCCAAGCTAGTTGGCTCTCCGCCTCCTATTTCGCTGAGCTGTCTTGACTACAAGCGAAGCTAATATGAATGGCAATATAATAGGAGAAATCAACTAACCTGTATAAATTTAAAAACTACCGATTAGAACTACTAAATGTTGATCTAATGGATGGAGTGATGGAGCTTAAGCGTAAAAAAAGGCCGGTGGGTGGGGGGCTTAAGTGCAAAAAAATCACACCTCTCACCTCATCCATTGAATCAACATCTAGTGGTCCTGATCGATAGTTTCTAAGTTTACACAGGTTGATTGATTTACACCTGATACGTTGCCTTATATAACCATAAATATGAGGTGTTGGAGGAGTCCTGGTTAGGTACGGGGAGAGACACATTAGTGGCTCAGCCCACCCACCTTTTATAAGCCTGTTCGTTTGGTTAAGCCATGGCTTATCAGTCAACGAACATTATTTTTCTCTCTTATTAAAGCAGTCAATAATACTTTCAGCTATGACTTATAAGTCAAACAAGCCAAAACGAACAAGACGATATATTGGATGAAAAAGGGATGACGTACGGAAGAAATGCACATGCTTTTAATATTAGACAGAGATATATTAACATTCATGAGTCCAAATAAATTCTATATGAAAATTATTCCAAGAGGAATTTAATGATTTAATTTAATAATATTCTAAATGTTTGTACATTTCTACAAGCTTGATCAAAATTTCAAAAAGTTTGATTTGGAATCCAAGTGAACTATAATTTAGAACGGACGGAGTATTGTACTGTAATAATATATAGCCGGTTGTTGTGGGCACTAGCTAGTGTGATTCTCGTAATCATAGGGCCGCTCATTCTCTTGTATCTATACGCCACTGGGTTGACAATCCTCCTCTTTGTTGTTTATTAGAACTGGATTAATTTCTTGAGGAAGGAGCACGGCACCAAGCACTGGTTCTTTTGTTGTTTATTAGAACTGGATAAGTTTCTTGTGAAAGGAGCACGGCACCAGGTTGCACTCTTGCAATGCAAGTCAACTGATACATGTGAATGTTATAAAAGAAAAATTGCTACACATGAATGCATGTGTGTGAACCTGTGTTTCTTATATAAATTAACAAACTATACATATTTTTTTACCCGATCATGTGTCTATGATTATGACAGACTCACATCTAAGCACACAATAGAAGTCGCTCCCTATAACATTGTCTCCATATAGATGTGTTAAGCCACAATGTATAAATCAACGGATTGTGATGTATTTTCTCGTTTTAAATTATAAGTCATTCTGTTTATTTTAGATGAGACAAGATATATATTTAATTATATAATAAAAGCTATGTATATAAAAAACCAAAAGGACTTATAATTTAGAACAGATGGAGTAGTAAATTACTACTCCTCCCTTGGATATAAGATATCCTAGAAATGTTAGTACATACATATGTGGTAAACCCATGACGTATATATAATCATTTCTAGTTACCATATTTGGGTTATTAGTAGTAGAAATTAATAATAGGTATTCATGTGAATGTGGACTTTTTGAACTGAGTACTAACGCATGAGAACATTGAGATATTTTCGAATGACGTTAAATTTAGCACGAGAGCTAATGACGAACATGCAAACTACGTTTACGATTGGACTCTGAATCTACGTGTTCACAGATGAGCCACACAAAATCTCATGCCCCAGAGGAAAATTCAAGTCATCAACAACTCCATTTTATACACATCGCCTTTTTTTTTCTTCTTTCAAGCACTTGCATTATCTGCATGAAAAAAAATTATAACAATAACATATATATGTTTCTGAACTCTGAGAATAAATAAATTAATTTAACCTATCTATGTCATAACTTGAGGATATCTTTGTAAACAATAACTTTTGTCCTCTTTCTAGTAGGGTCAGTGGCTTTGTTTGTTTTGGCCAAAACTTCCATATATACTCTCATGGCACTGCTACATACAATTAGCCATGAGAGGGCACGGGTTCAAGGAGATAAATACCAATATTGGGTATGGTACTATGGTTGACCTTTTATAGGATTCTATTATCATAAGGTTATAGATACTGATTAAGATGCTCACTAACCTTGGGCAGCAGGTGGATAATGGGATGATGCCTTTACCTTAAGCTCATGAGGAGGCAACAATTAGGCATACTCCCTATGGCCTAAACTAAATCAGCTTCTAAAGTTTTTCTAAGACAAACTATTAAGTTTGATCAAATTAATAGAAAACAAGATCAATATTTATGATAACAAATTAGTATCAGTAGATACATCACAAAATATATGTTCATATGTACTTATTTGATGTTATAAATGTTGTTACTCCTTTTTATAAAGTTAGTCAAACTTAAGATAGTTTGACTTAAGGTGATTTGATTTATTTTGGGACGGAGGGAGTAATAGTATTAAGAAAAATTCATATTTCTTAGGCAACCCCAAGAATTCCGTTAATTTGTGGTTTCCAAGTTTTACAGTTTGATAGAGTTGGGGCTAGCTAATATAAGTCATATACCCTATTGACTTTAATTTAACACAACTAAAGGATCTTGTTTGTGAGAGTAATCTTTACATTGGTTATGTGTTGAGTTGGTAAAGGATTTACCAAGGTAAACAATATTTCTGAACTAGCTAGGCATATTGGGGGGTGGGGGGGGGGCAAACATATCATTTGTTAATCACTACTAGGAAAAAACTCTCTAGAGGCCACTGGGGATGCCTCTATAGGCACAGTTGACCCAACTGCCTCTGCTCTTCCATTAGTACAAATCAACGATTTGTAGAGGCAGTAGCTGCCCCTGCTCTTCCATTAGTATAAATCAACGATTTGTAGAGTCAGTTCTCCAGCCGCCTTTAAAACTTGGATTTCTAGAGGCGATCGATTTTTAGAGGCGGCTGTACTTCGAGCCGCTTCTACAAATTATTGTCCAAAAATCACAAATTTTAATTCAGGGAGAACCCACCGGGCCACGTGCACTTCACGGCCACAAGGGATCGAACCTGCAACCTCAAGTCTTACACATTCGTCACCTTTTTTTAGCATATTCGTGCATTCTTCACCTATCCACTCCACCCATAACACACTTGTGTCCATTTTTGAAATTTGTCCTCCTCATTTTATCTTCATCTAATTTTCAAATGTGTATTCGGGACCTAAACGAATTCAGTTGAAAAAATTGTCATCTAAAAAGTTTTATATTTTTTTAGATCCACAACTTTGGTTTTGATCTTTTCTCCATCCGGGGTCGTTTGAAATATTTGAATTTCAAATGTGAGAAATTCAAACATAGATTTTTCATGCATATATGATTTCAAATGAAAATGTTGTCAGCTATAAAATAGCATATCTTTTTGAGATCTATAACTTTTGTTTTGCTCGTTTCTCCATCTGAGATTGTTTGAAAATTTTGAAATTTTGAATGTGAGAAATTCAAACGTGATTTTCTATGCATAGATGCTTAAGTTGTCAACTATAAAGTTGTATAATTTTTCGAGATCTACCACATTTGTTTTGATCGTTTTTTGTTCTGAGATTGTTTGAAAAATCGAATTTTACTATGCAACTCCTATTTTTAGAGGCTGCCAGAAGTAGAGCTTGCCTCTAAAAATATGGGCATTTGTGCAGGCGGTTGGGAATAACAATCGTCTCTACAAATGCATTTGTAGATACGGCTCGATTCCGCCTCTTAACCAACTTTGTCGTTGAAAATTAATTTTGTAGGAATGTCATTCGTAGCAGGAGTATTATATTATCACAAGCTAAAAGCTAGTACCAGTAACTGACCTGGGCCTTGTTTAGATTGTAAGTTTTTTCACTCTCTCTTCATCACATCAAATCTTTGGACACATGCGTGGAGTATTAAATATAGATAAAAAAATAACTAATTACATATTTTGATTATAAATTACGAGACGAATTTTTTGAGCCTAGTTAGACCATGATTGAACAATAATTATTAAATATAAACAAAAATGCTACAACACCAAATACTAATTCCTAACCCCAATCTTAACAAGTCGCCGGTGACATTTAATCATGGCTTCGCCTCATCGTTACGAAGTGTTCCTATTTTATTGCAGCCTTGCAGGTAGTAAACATTCCGCAATATAATTGCAAATCCACTACTTCGAGCGTCTAGAGAGGAAACGGAACTACAAGCAGTTTGTCGTTACTCTGCCGATCACGGAGGAACCGGTATCCCATGAACGAGTGCGAGAGCGATGCTCGTGAGCTCCTTGGCTCTCACAACTGCCATCACTACCTCCCTGGCCACCGGCGACGACGCTGCAGCGCCTGTAGCCGCGAGCCCGTCGGCGCATGTCGCCTCGTTCGTCATGGACGCGCTGAGCCACGTTTGGGCGTTGGAAATCGCCCACCGGACTTGACTTCTCCCGACGGTGGCTCCTGTGGCGTCGAGCTTGGCCAGCTCGGCCGCCGACTGCTTGGCCAGGCCGCCGGCAGATGACACTGTGCTGGCACAGTCGCGGAGCACAGCTGACTCGGGCCCGGCGGTGCCACCAGCAGCACCGCGGGCGACGAGCTCCTTGACGCGCTTGGAGATCGAGCGGAGCCAGGCCACGTTGACGTCGCCGGCGGCGCGGGCGAGCTTGACGTGGCTGGTCTGGAATATGCACGCGTACGGGAGGAGAGACTCGTAGCAGGCCACGCCGTACAGCGTGCTGGCACAGCGCGCGCGGAGAAACGCCACGGCCGATTGCGGTGGTGCGCATGGCGGCGGTGGGACGAATGACGACGACGGAGAGGGAGCGGCGTCGGTTAACGATATCCATGCGGCTGCAGCGATGATCAGGAGGAAGGTGGCTGCTGACGCCATTGTTCCAACTTGAATGGGGGCAAAGAAGTCGTCGACCCACCACACGTCGATTTATCGGCCGGAGTACGTGGTCTGATGAATTTAACGGTCCGTCAGTTAGCTGGCTAGAAAAGCGGGACGTGCTCATCGGTGGAATGAGAATGCCCAAAAATAGAAATTTGAAGTGGTGTTGCCGGTGTACCGGTGTGTTGTCGCGGTCAGCCCAAGAGGAACATATTCTTGAGCAACTCTAAGAGCTTAGATAAATTTGGATAGGTAAACCGGCTCTCCAAAACAATTTAGCTTGTCGAAGTATGAAAGTTCTGCAGCAGCTTTTCTAAAACCAGCTCGTTATTTGTTTTCTAACCTGTCGCTAGTCATCAGGCCTACATTGAAGTGCAATGACATCACTTTGGAGCACACCGTCGAACACCTTCATGGCATGCCTTGCTTCTCGTCGAAGCGTCATGCCTCACTGCCAGAATAGGCCGCCGCCGCAGTGTGCTTTTGTGCGGGTCGAGCATGAGCAAATCGATGACGTTTGTGTTCACGACGGCGATAGCTCCATGTTTGCGACGCCATCTGCCTCCAGCTTCTCTACGCCACTACAGACGAGATGCCCGGCCGTCGAGCACCTCGTCACAGACCATCTTCCAAAGCCTGAGGCCTGAGCTAAAACGTTGCGGAAGCACCAGAGCTCCACTCGAACATGTGCACTTCCTTGGGACCATGTTGCTTGGCGGCAGCTGATGTAGTACGCACTGCTTGCTCGTCGAAGCTCGACGTGTGGCCACGGAGTCGATTGTGGGGTGCAAAGAAAAGAGATCCGCCGCCCCGACATGCGCACGGACGTGCTATGCAGTAGCGCGGCGCCGGCGGCACAGAGATGAAGTCGGCATGTGTGAAGCTGGATGCCTGGATCCCTAGGGGTGGCGTTCCGTGACGATGACGAGGTGCATCCTGTCCTGCCCATCTTCCCATTTGGCAAGCGAGGGACGCTGGCTATCTATGACGAGCGAGACTCAAGGAATAGCTTGTGGCTATTTTTACAAAGCGAGATAGATGATCTGTTGGAGGCTTGTTTTACACTAAATTATCTAAATGAGACTATACACGATGGGATGACAAGTCTCTTGGAGTTGCTCTTAGTTCGTAGGGGTAACTGAGAAAGATTCTTATAATTTGACTTAATCCACTTTTCATAGACATTAGTTTAAAAAACGCTACTACAAACACATCTTCACTGATAGTACCTTTAAACCTACCCCTGGTACAAATACCACTATTACCGGTGGTACCTTAGACCCTCCACAATATCGTCGAGATGCCCAAAAATCACCATTTCTTTCTAGTACCACGTTTGATAGCTCATAGCAGTGGGCAACTCCAAGCATGTCTGTGTTCGGCTGGGCTTAAAATAAGCCCCAGCCGGCTGCTTAAAAAATATATAAATAATCAGATCGTTTATCTAACCACAAGACGGAATTATCTCCTAATCCCCCCTCCCGCTGCCACCACCGCTCCCCCGTGCAAAGGAGATGTTGTTCTTCGGGGAGTACAAGTAGCTCCTTCTGGTCATGGTGGCCGGCCTAGCTACCCGAAGAGAAGGGGATCCTCATCGGCCATGACTTCTTTGAGTCGCTATCGTCGTCTTCGTCTCGGCCACCATGTCCGATGTAGTGCAGCCGCTGCCACCACCCCAATCCCACGGGCCACCACCGCAACCAATCCATGTTCCCCGAGGTCGACGAGGATGAGTACCGGCGCGTCTCCACCCACATCCATTCCGGTCTATCAAGGTAGGCGGGAAGAGACAACTGTGTGCGAAGGAAGCATTATTTTATCGATTGGCATCAGTGGACATGGGCGCATGTTCTTGCTCCGCTCACTGTTTTCCTGGCATAACTGGAAATTGGCTTCGCTTGTTGTAATGCGAAGAGTGATGCCGGGATCATCTCTCCCTTGTTTTGGGCATCATTGGAAGAGCATGTTGTGGAGGGCCTTATATCACCCGCTAGTGCAAATGATTTTTAGACCGACGCTCTCGGTGCGCCGGTGTGGCCGCACCCGTCGCACCGCCAAGCCTATATGGTGAGATAACGTCACCTTGTCTCAGTCCCTCGATGGGATAATTTCCTCAGTTAGTTCACCATTCAGTTTAATCTAGTACGCTATACATACATAATATTTTTTTACCAACATTTCCTATAGAGCAGATGCTTGAAACACGACTTCTGTTCAGGCATCCCACTGAAGACGAAGACACGACGACAACGGCGGCGGCGGTGGCCTCCCTCTCCGGCCTCTCCCCCTCTTTCTTCTCTAAATCCAGCGGGCATAGAAGAGGTTCTAGGGGAAGGCAGGCCACCCAGGCGGTGGGGACAGGGGCAGGCTTCTTCGGGTCCTTGCAACAGTGGAGGCAGTCGGGCCAGGTTGGGGCGGGGCGTCGCGGTCGTTCTTGCCAGAGTTGGAGAAGAAAGTGGCGATGGGAGGGGTAAGGGGAAGAGGGAGGCCGCCGCGGGCGCGGTAAGGTCTCACCAGAGCTCCATCGCCGCGGCATTTTCTCCTCACTGGAGTTGCCACTTTAGGTATTAGAACTGCCACGGTTTGATTCGATCCCTCTAGCATCCCTCCACCCAAAATGTCGATTATTACTAGGAGTAACCAGATCACAACCCATAAAACACACCACCACGGTGGTATCGCCTGACTGCTTACACACGCGTTGGCCATCTTAAGGGCCATTTGGGAGAGCTCCTTAGGGCTCCGGCTCCTCCAAATCATGCACTGTTCATGGAACTATTCATTGGAATGGCTTTCTCTCCCTTATCCAAATGAACTAGTAGCCAGAATGAGCCACTATTTTGGTTCCTCCAGCTCCAGCTCCTCGACCACTGTAGCACGAAGCCAGAGTCGAAGCCAGGAGGAGCCCAACCAAACAGGCCCTTACTTTGCCAATTGTGTGCCCCTGGTGTCATGTCAGAGATATGGGCCCGAGATACCCTCACCGACCATATATCTAGCCCATCAATGAAGGATGACTAAGGAGGAAGCCCGCGAGGACTAAGCGCAACCACCAACTTGGAGATCACAACGTATCAAGGATATCCGCCGCCATCACAGCTATGGTAGGATAGAATTGATTAGTTGTAACCAACTAAGAATCCAATCTGTAGCGCCGATCGCCCTCGTTGTAACCCTACCCCTCTATCTATAAAAAGAGGGGAAAGGACTCCGCGATCGTCACGTCCACCACGACACCATTGCCTCATTCTAATCTACCTCATAGCTAGGTGGAACAACCCCTGTAACCGAGCATACGAATACAAGAAGTAGCAACTGGACGTATGACTTTTACTCGCTTCTCGAGGGGCCCAAACAAGTATAAAATCTCTGTGTCTCGTGTGCAACCATCTAGATCAATCTACGCGATCATGTTGCTAGGCATTGCCGGAGCTAAACAATCCGACAGTTGGTGCTCCAGGTAGGGGCCTTTCACGTTTAGATTAATATCGTGTTTCAGATGGGAATCATCATCAACATCGACGATGCAGCGGAGAGGATGCAGCCGGGCGAGAAGATCACCTTCGGCAGCCTCGACTTCATCATCGACCAATTTGGGGACTTGCATCTGCAAGAACCCGAACTACTCGTGGAGGAGGAGGAGCCTCCCTCGATCTACATGTTCTTCGTCAAATTGGAGGAAGCTGTGAATGTTAGGCCCTCGCGCTCTTGCCCAACATCTCAACCACTACGGACATGACGTCTTCACCAAGCTTGGTCGAAAGAACGATCTCGAGGCCACCCTCCAACTCTGGGAAGATCCAAACTGGACCCCTCGATCGGATCTACAATTGCCACCCGATCACTTCCTTTCTGGCTTCCTAGTCGGATTAAGGAAAGCGGCGTCAACTTACTCTAACTAGCTTCAACAAGCCCTGACGAAACCCGCCAAATCTCGCACTGAGGATCACCCCATCTACGTCTCTCACTCTTCTGAGCATTTTGACAACCTAGTTACCCAGTTCGTCGGGTTGATCGCCAATGGCGACGAAGACATGGCCGACACATCGAAAGATTGGGAACATGTAGAGGACAACGGGCCTATCCTAGGTCTCGACCACGATGAATATGATTAGTTCCTCTCGATAACCCAAATTTAGAGGAGGAACTACCCAAAGAGGAAGGCACTGAGTCCAAGGAGCAACCCGAGTGTTATATGAATCTACAAGACCCCGAGCCACCTCGGGAAGCACTTGAGAAGCTCGCGCTCGAAAGCGCCACTCCACCGTCGGGAGACATTGCCGTCTCAGACGCCCCATATGAGACCAGCAACAAAGCACGCCTCCGCCTCCTTCGTCAGAATGATGATCTCAAAGCGGAGAACAATCACCTTCGCCAACAGCTCAACCAGTCTCCTAACACTCAGCAGATTCAAGTTGAACACACACACCCAGCGGATGGCCAAAACTTGGCTAGTCGACCCTACGGGATCGTCAGGTTGCTTCAATCAGCTCCCAGGGCCAGGCCAATGACGCACTCGACAACTCAAAAGTCGTGGCTCAATTGAGAAACAAACAAAGTACGCCACGGACCTGCTCCGCACAATCACCGGCAACGTCTTCCAGAGACCAGGGGCCGACCAACGGGAGGACCTAGAGCAACTCACCCCCGACCCAATCTATGGTCGACTAGGGAACAAGCAAGATGCTCGCTTGTTGATCAACGCGAGGAAACAGGAATGCGATACTCGCAGCCCTACCCAGCATTCAACAGCTCCTGGGAAGCAGACTCAGCCGTAGATCAAACTCGAGTATACCATCCCGAGAACAGCCTTGATCCCTCATAAGAAACAAGCCTATCAAGACATGTTCGAAAGGATCATGAATAGCCCATGTCAGAATGATGGCTTCATTGTGATCCACCTTGCCAAAGATGGCCTCGCTTACCACAAGCATGTTGTTCTAGAAGCCGAAAATCTTTGGTGGCCCTAAGCCTACTAGGATCAAAGGCTGCAGAAG